AAGCTTGTTGTAAATTAGAGTTTGAGAAAAACGTAAACTGATTGTGGTGCGGGAAACATAGTTTACAATTATCGTTCCAAAGCCAGCGAACTATGTTTTCTCCCCGCAAGCTTGTTGCTAGGGGGTGATGCGTCGGCGCGTCGGGTCGTCTGCTTCCCGGGGCGTGTGCAAGCCTGCGTTTGCGACACACGTATTCCTTCTTCCCGTGGATCCCGACTCCGAAGCCAGCTTTGCGATCCTTCCACGTGAATGAGTCAAACTTTTCCTTGTCATCTGTGGAATGCGACTGCGTATTGCAGTAGTTTCTTTTATCCTTTGAGTGAGCGATTTCCCTGAAATGCCGAACGTTTGTTTCGTCACGACGTGCCGACATCAAACTGGGAAGAACGTTCGCAAGGGCTTGCGATTCTTCTCTTTGCCGGAGAAAGAACCACGAAGGACTGCGTGGTTACGCTGCGCCGGGCGAGGGCACGACATCGAGAACCTGCCTCTCATTCCCCGTTTTTGTGCCGAACATTTCGAGCCGACTGCTTTCCGAAAGGACGACCTGCGTCGTTCCCGTCTTCGATCAGATGCTGTGCCGACGCTTCTGCTTCCCGTCGCCGATGAGACCGACGATCCTCCCCCAAAGCGCCAAAAAGTCGTGGTGAGTTTTTTGATGGCTCAAATATTTTTGGGAATGTCACGAACATGGCATTCTGCGTTGCGCAGTGTGGCTGCTTCTGGTATCTATATTCTGAACTAAGAACTGAGGAGGCATTTGTGTAACATGGGAATCCACATGGCATTCGTCAAGTCGATCAGTGGTGCCTAATGTTCCGGACTAGCGGTTCGAGAGCTTATCGCGCGAATGGTGCGGTGCACGGGGGTTTTCATTTTCGGGTTTTATATTTTTCAAAAATCGGGGGGGTAAAAATCGGGCGCTATTTTTCCGGGCGATAATCGGGAAGAAATCGGGTTTTTCCAGAAACCATTCCGAAATTCGGATTTTTTTCGGGATTTCTTTATCAATTACAAATACGTGCAATGTGTTATTTACATGAACAAAAGTGAACAAAAGTAAACAAAATATATTATATAAGCATAGGATATGTTTATACCTTCTGATCGGCTCTGAAGTGAATCTTTGCGGAGGTCACGCAAATCGAAGAAAATTGTAACCATCAACTGATGACCAAGGAAACACCGTTTAAACAGATCCAGAATGGTTCATATTTTCTATCAAGTCAGGTGATTTCAACACTGCTTTTCGGGGAGAAATCGGGTTTAACCCGATTTTCATCAGAACTATTCGGGGGAGAAAAATTAGGTATTATCGGGTTTTACCCGAAAACGAAGAACCCTATCAGCATGCACCATCTGCAGGATCGAACTCATTTGTAAAAAGAAAACACGAACAAATAAGATAAAAGGACAGAGTCATAAATCGCCTCTAATGGTACCACCATCACCACCCCCCTCTGCTATTGACCCACCCGAAGTCAATACATGTTTTCCCAGCTTGTTTACAGACAGGAACCCTTTCGTATCAGCTTAGCAAAGTTCCAAGTGTCCGTGACTACTAACAAGCAGGTTTTCTTTTATATCTAGTCTTGTGAGCAAATTCAGTTTTTTTTTTCTTCTCACAATCCTGCACCCACGATTGCGTGCAAACCCGCGTTTGCAAATTTGTATGCACATAGCAAATGCACGCCATGATTTTGTTGCTTGGTGGCACTTCTGGACACTGAGAACTCATGGCAGTTCCTGCATGTTTCCCACTTGCGGCTATAAGTGCTCGTTGGTTGCATTTCCTTCAGTGGTTGGTAAATACATGTCAAGCTGCAGCTTTACGTATGTATGTAATGTGACATCATATCGCGACATGAACATTTATTGTTGCTGAGCTAGAGACTGAAAATATAGATGGTAATGTAAGTTATAAAAACAAATATAAAGAGTGAGGCATCCCTTAGATTTGTAGCATTGGTTGAGTGCATGAAATTCTAAGCTATGGAAAGGCTACAAAACAATTCATGGATGTTTGCCATCAGCTAAAAAACTAGGCATCATGGATGTTTGCCGCGGTGACGGCATTGTGTGGAGTGCTCGAGTTGCACCCTTCAACCTTAAAAATATGAAATGTGTAATAAACAGTGCCCTTTGCAGACTCAGGCCTCGGCAACTGGACTGCCTGCACCCTGCGAGGCAGAAATGACCCTCAGGGACTACTGCTGAAACAAACATCCCTGCAGTGGTGCCACCTGTCCCTGTCGCAGACGTGCCTGCACAGTCGCATCCGCCCGAGTCTGCCTTCTCCACTTGTAGCAGTGGGGTGCCATATGAATGCACATCTCCTGTTCCCAGCAACATGCCAGACTCTGACGCAACCTACTCTCCGTCTCACAGCGAGGATTACGAGAGGTAAGTTGTGCATATAAACACATAGAATCTGTAAAGAATGCTTCACATGATCCCATTTCAGAATCGAGCATGGTGCATCAGCTCCACCACCACCACCAGAAGAAGAGCGCCAGTTTCTGGTGTTCGAGAGCTGCCTAAGGGAGCTTTTCAAGACGTGCCAAGAGTGCTCAAGACTGTGCCAAACAACGATCGAAACTACCGGCACACTGATCACAGTCTACAGCATCTGCCCTGTGGAGCACGTGCGCACATGGAAAAGCCAGCCCATCGTCAACGGCAGACCAGCAGGGAACATACTGCTGACCAGCCACCTGGTCTTCTCTGGAGTGAAGATTGCCCCTACGCTGCGGATGCTACGCCATATGAACGTGCAGGTCATCTCCGACTCGAGCTTCTACGAGCATCGGAAGGCCTTCGCTCTACCTGCAATTCACAAGGTGAGCAATATTCCGGGACACTGCAGCTGCATTTTTTTCCCATATACCCAATTTTCCAATGAGGTACAAAACTGGAGCCCCAGTCACACTTCGGTTAAATGAATAAATATCTTCTTGTAGTATGCCACTTCAATGGTATAGTGCTAAGACATAAAATTTTATACATCATGTTACATATGTGCCATGGGCTACTAAATCCACGATACTTTAATTTATTTCTGCTATGTGTAGTATCCTGGGGCAGTTCCCTGTCTGGCATTGGGTTGAGTGAGTCAGGTTCCCCGTGAGAGTCAAGAGACAGAGGGTGGTTGTTAGAATGGAAAAGGGTAGGGCAGCTTCGAGGTAACGGGCGGCCTGCTGCCTCTTTTATGAAATACACAAACATAAAAACACAAATCACAACCTAGCACAATCTAAGTCACATTCAAACTCGCTGCATTGTGCTTTCCTTTTTCTTTCACTCAGTCATTCATTCTACAACACTACACTATGCATACATAAACAGATGGGACTACTGTAGTATGCTCCATGCCTTTCTAAAGCAATATTTATCTGCATGAACAGGTCTGGCTGCAAGAGCAACAAGAACTTCTCAACGAGTTGCAGAACAAAGAGGTGGACATCTCTGCTGACGGGAGATTTGACTCCCCTGGGTTCTGTGCCAAGTACCTGACGTACACAGTCCATGTCGAGCAAATCAACAAGATTCTACACTCTGTCCAGGTCCAGCTAAAAGAGGCAAGTAGTCGGATTTACGTGAACCAGTTGCAACAATCTCATAATCTTTCTCTTGTGTTATGTCATCAGTTACTTCACTGCTATGCACTATTTTGGTAAAATATTCATTTCACACCTTTTTTTAGTCTGAACAGGCCATGGCCAGTGTCAACATGGAGAAGGAGGGCCTCCTCAAGCAGCTGCAATTCTTCAAGGAGAAAGGTATGTTCATGCTTAGTTCATGTATACCACTACTCGGCGGCCTTTCAGGCACTCTGTTCAAATTGGCATAATCACTTATTCTTTTGCTATCTTCGGAAACCTAATTGTGCAGGTATCAAGATCCGATCGTTGGTGACTGACCGTCACCCTGCCACACGAAAGCACATGAAGACGCACGAACCCGGGATTGACCACTTCTTTGACATATGGCACATCTCCAAATGTAAGCAATCCTAACAGGCCATTCGTGTAGCTTTTATTTTCCAGCGATCACGCTGCAGGTTTCCCTGACACGACTCTGAATTTTAGGTGTGAAAAAGAAGCTGACAGCAGCAAGCAAACGGGCTGGATGCCAAGACCTGCAAATCTGGATCCAGACAGCTACAAACCATATGTACTGGTCAGCAAGGGCTGCAGGAGGCGACGAGAAACTGCTCATCGACATCTGGCTCAGCATGCACAACCATGTCATCAACAAACACTCGCGGCACGAAGGAACCTATGGAAGGTGCCTCCATGGTGACATGCCAGAGCCAACACGACCATGGATGGATCCCAGTATGTTTTTGTTCTTCCAAATGAAGGTGGTTTTTCTAAAACTTGTATCATCCTCAGACTCGCAGGCCTACAACCAATTCAAGAGCATCACTGGCAACAAACTACTCCTGAAGGACCTTGCACAGATGTCTCCACATGGCCAGACATATGCTTTGGAGGCGTTCCACAGCGTCCTGACAGACTTCGCCCCGAAGTCCCAGGCTTTCAGCCCAGAAGGCATGCTTGCAAAGTAAGTCAACCAATTTACAATCACATTTCCTTTGTTTGGACACTTTCATCCAGTCCATTGGTTACAATGCGACAAACCTGACAGTCTCTTCCTAATGATCAGATAATGGAATTGGATTGATGCCAGAATAACCACTCTTTGTAAGTGGCACACTTTACCATCACTGAAATGTAACCATCTTGCAGGACTCGACTTGCAATCCTCCATTTCAACGAAAACTCAAACCGCTGCCAAGCCGTCACACGAGAGGGCAAGCCACGTTGGTCGGTCGTAACATCAAAAGCACGAAAGGGCCACCACACAGCACGACCAGAGATTACAGATCCCACTTACAGTGAGTATAACACTAACTGCAGTGTGAATGCCTTGTCCAGAGAGCCTAGGAATGTTATCATGCAAAGGTTTGAATTCTAGAGTATGTTGGAAAGTTCATCAAGGAGGCAATGGAGAGCAGCAAACAGTGGCGGTCCCTGGCTGCTGCATCGAGGGCCAACACCGTCGTCTTCCCGGCACCGATGACTGCAGCCTACACAAGGCCTCCAAAAGAGGAACTCGTGGCAGCACGAATGTCCAGGTTCGGCCACAGTCCCCAGTAACGGCATCAAATCCCTGGTCGGGACTTCCATGCTGCCACAGGTAAGCACACAGGACCTTGGTCCTAATCAGGGTGCAGGATAAGCAGGTGGGGAAACGGCCCATAGAAGCCTACCGCAGCGCCGTGACCGGATTGTGTACTCGTCTGCTTGCGGGTACCCCCGATTTGCAACAGATGGCGCTGCGGCGAGAGGAAAAAAATCGGAATCGGATTTGCATGGAACTTTATGGGAGAGTGCGCAAAATAAACAGAGAGCACGACAGTCTATTGAAAATCCACGAGAAACCATCTCCGTCAGTTTAGCCAGTCGCCACCGGTCGCCCACCTGGAGTGAGAGTTTGCGGTGCTCCACATCGATGGCGCCACAGAAAAAGAGAAAACCGAGGGGTACACAATCCGGTCGCTCATTTGGCTCTCGTTTCCCCACCTGTCTATCTTACACCCTGGTCCTAATACAGCCTTGCATGGTAAGCAACCGCTTTGTTTTGCAGGACGTACGGCGAATGCAAGCAGACAGACCCAAGAGAAAACAGCCGAGCTGCAAAATGGTTCACCATTTTCCATTAGGACACCCTGAGCGACAGTAAGGAGGAAGTTAGATCTGTCTGCAATCATTTTTCACAGAAATGCAGATCTCTCCTCATGAGAATGTTCCATTTTAGGGCCTAATCAAGCTGGTCATGGCATGCCTATCTCAAAAGAGGGCAAGGAACTTTAGCCGGTGGCAATGTCGGAGTCACAGAAAAGTCACCAAACAGCGAGACTCAAGGCTACAGCTCAACTTGCGGTGAGGACGACACTAGCTTCAGTGTGAACGCCCATCTAGCCCAACTTGGAATGTCTAGGAATGTAATTATGCAACCGTCTGAATTGTCACTGTAGGTTGGAAAGTCTGTCAACGAGGCGGACAGCAGCAGGCAGCAAAGACCTGGTTGGATCTTTCATGCTGCCAGTGGTAAGCACACAGGAGCCTCGTCCTAATGAAAACTACCATGGTAGGCAATAACCGCTTTGTTTTGCAGAACGTACGGCGAATGCAAGCAGACAGACCCAAGAGAAAACAGCCGAGCTGCAAAATGGATCATCGTTTTCCGTTAGGACACCCTGACCGACAGTAAGGAGGACATTAGATCTGTCCGCAATCATTTTTCACAGAAATACAGATCTCTCCTCATGAGAATGTTCCATTTTAGGGCCTAATCAAGCTGGTCATGGCATGCCTATCTCAAAAGAGGGCAAGTAACTTTAGCCGGTGGCAATGTCGAAGTCACAGAAAAGTCACAAAACAGCGAGATTCAAGGCTACAGCTCAACTTGCGGTGAGGACGACACTAACTTCAGTGTGAACGCCCATCTAGCCCAACTTGGAATGTCTAGGAATGTAATTATGCAACAGTCTGAATTTTCACTGTAGGTTGGAAAGTCTCAACGAGGCGGACAGCAGCAGGGAGCAAAGACCTGGTTGGATCTTTCATGCTGCCAGTGGTAAGCACACAGGAGCCTCGTCCTAATTAAAACTACCATGGTAGGCAATAACCGCTTTGTTTTGCAGAACGTACGGCGAATGCAAGCAGACAGACCCAAGAGAAAACAGCCGAGCTGCAAAATGGATCATTGTTTTCCGTTAGGACACCCTGACCGACAGTAAGGAGGACATTAGATCTGTCCGCAATCATTTTTCACAGAAATACAGATCTCTCCTCATGAGAATGTTCCATTTTAGGGCCTAATCAAGCTGGTCATGGCGTGCCTATCTCAAAGGAGGGCAAGGAACTTTAGCCGGTGGCAATGTCGGACTCACAGAAAAGTCACCAAACAGCGAGACTCAAGGCTACAGCTCAACTTGCGGTGAGGACGACACTAACTTCAGTGTGAACGCCCATCTAGCCCAACTTGGAATGTCTAGGAATGTAATTATGCAAGTCTGAATTTTCACTGTTGGCTGGAAAGTCTGTCAACGAGGTGGACAGCAGCAGGAAGCAAAGACCTGGTTCTATCTTTCATGCTGCCAGTGGTAAGCACACAGGAGCCTCGTCCTAATGAAAACTACCATGGTAGGCAATAACCGCTTTGTTTTGCAGAACGTAGGGCGAATGCAAGCAGACAGACCCAAGAGAAAACAGCCGAGCTGCAAAGTGGATCATTGTTTTCCGTTAGGACACCCTGACCGACAGTAAGGAGGACATTAGATCTGTCTGCAATCATTTTTCACAGAAATGCAGATCTCCTCTATTGATAATGCTTGATTTTAGGGCCACGATCAAGCGTAATGGAGAGATGCAAGCATTGGCACCTGCCCTCTCAAGCCGGATTTTTCAAGCCCAGCATGGTGCACCTCTATTGTTGGCACATCAGTGCCAACAGTAGAAGCATTAGGAGATGAGGACAGGCCAGTGCTATAATTCTTCCCAGTCCATTAGCTGTAATTAGGGTTCTGCGTTCTCAGATAAACCTGATAAACTCCAAAAAACACTAGCCGTTAAAATTTTGCTGATTCAGATTCATTTGAAAAACTCAATTTTTCGGTCTGCCAGCTGTTATAAGCCCCACCAGTCTTTATATTTCCCGGAATCTTCGAACAATTTTTGCAATTCTCCGCTTATTGCAGTGTCAACTTCCGTTGCCATGTAGCCCCTTATAATAAAAATGAGGTAGGCCCTCTACGACAGTAGATGAATACGGCTCTCATATGAAAATACTGCTTTACTAAATTCAGAAACTGCTGTTTTCTACCTTTCATTTTCCTCATCGAAAATGCCGAAAGACTCCGAACTTTGCGTACATAAATGGAAGCTCCAAATTGATGGTTCAAAAAAAAAAAAAAACACCCTCTAATTTTGCTAAAAAAAATTCAATTCAAGAACGCAGGATCCTAGCTATAGTTTGTGCAAGCTTTCAAGATCGAGGAAATCGGTGACCGTATTGTCATATTCATTGTGGGCACACCACAATGAAGGCGGATCAAGTGCTATTTTGAATAGCATGTAGTTCTGCCCCAGAGATCCCATCCCCAGTTCACAAGCTTAGCCCATCGCAGCAGTTTTAGAAAATTGAAGTATTTTCGGAACCCAACCGACACTTTTCTGAAGACTGTAACACAATGCCTTATCCATCTTTCTTTTCATGTGCTGATGAGCGGACATGCTGTGGAGACTGCACCGAGGCGGGGCAGCCCGCCCGTGTTTCCAATAAATGGGGTTTTCATCCAGGAGGTAGGCTGGTAATGCAGCAATAACATAAGTGGGGTGGTTGCATATAACACTGGAAATATTAACAGAAGTTTTTTATGGCAATTTAAAAACAGTGCTGCATTTTCCAGTCTACACCACGGTTTTCCCCCCGTCTGCAACATTTGTCTTCTGTCATTATTGACCTGCTTGCAAATAAGTGAGGCACATTCGCTAACCTTACGATTGAAATAAACTGCATTAATTTTCCAACAACTTGACATCTCGGTACCAGAACCTGGAAGGTGTAGAAATTTGCATGACCAAAAGGAAATAATTTCATAATTGAAAACAAGTGATGCCGATGGTAGTACTAATTTTGTGATCCCCTGGATGATTTCTACATTGTGAGCTCAATACATGGGTCGATGTAACTAGAATACTGCACTATGCCTAACTAAAAACCCGACCGAAATTGTGCCATTTCCTCAAAGTATTTGCATGATGTGAGGGTATACTTGCCAATTATAACGACAATATAAACAATCATAGTATTCACTGAAATATATAAGCAGATCCTATATACCACCGGGAGGAAAAATCCAGGGTAACTGGGCTGTGGAGGCATAGAATATTCCATGCAGGGGATCTATTGTGCATGCTCAAAAAGCATTCCACAGCCAAGTAAAAAAAGGATTTCGCAGAAGGCTTGGACTGGAAAAGTCTATACTAGAGCACATGTTGAGAGTACAGTAATGAAATGTAGGTTGGCAATGAATTCTAAATAAAAAAAGTAAAACAATTTACAGCATGCCTATAGTCGGTGACAGGTCAAGAACGAAGTGGAAGCTCCTCCCACCTCTTTCCACTTTAGTAGAGCGAATGCTGGAGAGGAGGCGACCTCCTCTCCGTCGTTCGCTGCATTGAAGTGGACTATAGTCACCCAAGCAGAACGTCATTTGTTTGTCATGTTAGCCACGTCGTCATCCAGACCCTCGGAACAATCGACCACGTCCCTCTGAAAACTGCAGCAATCGCAATTCGCCTTTCTTCGCCTCATCGCACCGGCACGCTCAGACGGCTGATGTAGGGAAGCATCTTGTAGCTTCATGCAGTCAGATTTTTCCAGGTTATATGCAGTTTTTCCATTTGAAAGAACAGATCCAGAAGAAAGTAGAAGTACACTGCACAACACTGTTAGTGCGAACATGACATCGGTGCTTTTTCTATCTTTACTTTAAAATGGTATTAGTGGGTGCCAAATTTTACTGCTTAGGTTAGTGTTCCAAATGAGCACTTCTCACGCCCTAGTAGTTTTGATGACAGCCTTTGGATTCTAGGAGGAAAATGAAGCAATCCAGTCGTGCGACTCAAATCAAATTTGGGGGTTTTACGTGCCAAACCAACGACGGGCATCTGGCACGCCCCAGCGGAGGACCGAGGATTAATTTCGACCACCTGGGGATCTTTTGACGTGCAATCGAAAGCTCGATTACCAAGCTGCCTTCTCCGCAATATACCTCCATCAGATTGCAGGCACCTCGGCCGGGATTCGAACCCGCCACATGGGGATCCGTAGGCCGGCACTCTCGCCTCGGAGCCACCGAGGCGGCTTCGTCGTGTGACTGAATGTGACGTAGGTGCACTGGCTTTGGTTCGACTACGATCATGTGATCATAGTTATGGTCACGTGATATCGTAGATAATAGGTCACGTGATTTAGAGGATTCCGTTCATGGCTACGAGCGACTTCACACACATGCAGGGAGGGTGAAGAGACAAGGGAAGGGGGTTGCGTGGTCTCTAGGTCAACGCAATTTATTCTGCATCCCTGTAGCCCGCATACACGTCAGCAGGGTACCTGCCCCTAATTGTCTTGACCACACAGGATGGCAGGGGCCGCCTATTCTTCTTTCCCAAGCGGCTCCACAGCCACAGGGCACACTGCCTGTAGGCTGCAAATCTGTAGTGCCTGGAACAATGACAGAGATTGGATGTAAGAAGCAAAGCCTATCACTCTGTTGGCAAATTCTACACTTGTTTTCATTTCTCTGGGCATGTAATCATACTCTGCTTTTCTGTTACGTCCACTCCAGCTATCACATAGCAGAATCCCTATTTGGCAGTCCATGTCGGATGGGCTAGACATGGAAGCCAAATTGAAGTGAACTGCTGTAGATTCATTCTAAATGCTCCAGAGTTAAAAAAAAAAAGCTATAGGCCTTGGTTTTCCTAACGCACCTCCAACTCCAATCGACACAACAACCAGTTATACACCGGAATTAACAAGGAAGGAATATCTGTTGCGTGGTCATGATACATAAAATAAGCTCACAGGGTCCCAGTTCATAATTGTAGATAATATCTGTCATTGGTGTTGGTGACGAATATTGCATCGCTGTGTTTTGGGAAGGACACATGAAAATTATGTGCACTGGCCAGAGGGAATGGGAGCCATTCATCCAGAACAGTGGAAAGCTCCCCATATGATGATGTTTAATTTGGGACAAAACAGTGCAGTTCGTAAGCCTGTGAAGTAGTGGTGTGCAAATATTG